TCAGCAGGACTGACACCCCAAGGCTAGTTTTGTTTTTCCTAGAGCCAGCTGTTTTTTTTGGCTTTGCAGTTCAAAACATAATTTCTTGCTGAGTTTCGTCTCCGAGGGATGTGTGGCTTAGAAGGACTCTGAGGGGAATGGTAGCGAGAAGGTCTGCCCACAAGGCTAGGGCGTTGGCTTAGCAGTCAAGGAACATTTTTGGTTCTTCATTGGCTTCTGTGCTTGGATGATGCGAGGCATGTCACTGTGCTCCTGTGCCCCAGTTTTATAAAATAGCATCTCACTGATTAGCTGGCCTTTGGGTATGGTAACAGAGTTCTTTGCACTTGAGCTTTCAATTCTGCATCAGAGTCCTGTTATACTGTGAATACGTTTGGATTTATGAATGTTTTGCAGTATTGTCACTCTTTCTTGCCTGTTGTGTTCGCTAGCCTCTGATAAAAGCTGAGGTACTCGCATTACTTGTATGCAGCATGTGAAGCTTGTGAGCGTTAAGGATGGGAAGGAAATGTCCGATGGTTAGATCATTGTTTTTCCTCACTGGAAAACCTGTAGCTGTAATGGTGGAGTAGTGAGGTTGCTAGAGAAAGGCATAGTTTTCTGAGCCAAAATGAAAGAGTTTAAATTAGAAGTGTAGTTTGCAGGGGATCTTCAGAGACCACAGTAATAAATTCTTGTCCTGGTTATGCCTTGGGATATTACTGGAATGCAATAGAATGATTGTTTTACTCTTCTTGACATTTCTCCAAGAACATCTTTTGAGATTAAGCAAACAAATCTATCGTCCCCCCCCCGCCCCACTTCAGACAATGAATTCTTCCAACAGGAGCATGACTTTAGGACAAAATGACAGGCAAAGAACTAATGTACTTTGCACATGGATATAGTAGGTACTTCAGGCATTTATCAGCTGCACACACATATTTTTGTGTGTATATCTGAACCTCATGTGTGAAATCATGATGTTTGTGCATACTTAATGTATCTTAGATTATACAGAATGGTCTGTTAGTCCAAGTCCAACAGCCAGATGACTTTTGCTAATGTATTACTATGTTACACTGAGGAACAGTGGAAGGAGAGGTTGAAATATGATGGCTTCCAGCAGCAGGTCTTGTTCTAATTTCTTTTACATTCTTAACATTTGTAGTGGATCTTCTGCTATATCATCTTAGGATTGTACTTAAATCTAAAGAAATACAGTCAAGATCTTCCTGTATCTAATGTAGGTATTTTTAAAAGTCCATATCTATGTGAGTGTAAGAATTCAAAAACATACATTTGTAAAGCACCTGCTGGATAAGATGAGGTGAATGTAACTTTAAGAATAGTTTTCAGTCTAAGCAAAATACAGATGAATGTACATGATCATATAAAGATGGGAATGGGTGGTTTATGAGCTGTATAGCGATGAAAGGTGCTTTTCTCGAAAGCTGCTATTTGGAACATAAGGGAAACAAACCTCAAGACTCTATTCAGATCCCCCTTTTACCATTTCCTAAATGTAGGTTTCCTTGCCTGTGCCTTCCTGCTCGTAGAGGTGTAGCACTGCTGTTCGTAGCACTGTGTCTCTGTGTCTGCTCCTGGTGTTTTCTTACCTTTTACTTTTTCATTGCTTGTTTGCCTCCTGTTCTTCGGGTTTGTGTTTTTGCTTGCTTAAGCCTTTAATGCTTTCACAGAAGGTTATGGTATGAGGTAAAGGGAAAACAAGTTTTGTCACTTTTTTGATTGCTTGTGAAAGATAGTGGAATATTTCAGGATCTCGTCAGCGCTACCTTGTTGCTGCTGCTGGGCCTTAATCACTAGATGAACTTTCCCATGAAAGGTAGAATATCTCTATGCTTATTCTTTTTGCTGGTGCTCATGCTGGTTTCATTCTGGCAGGCTTGACTTATTGCTGGTTTTGTACTATAGTGCTATAGCAAAAGGAAGTGTCAAAAGCATATGAAAGGATGCAAACAAGTTGTAAAATTAAACTCCAAATCCTAAATCAAAATGATAGAAGTGCTTTCTCTTCTTTGATTTCCCACCCGCCACTTCCTTGCCCTTATCCCAGGAATGTTAGACATGAGCTTGAAACTATTCTGTTTCATGTACTGTTATATATGTAAAATGTTGGAATTTTTTTTAGATCAATTTCAGCTGGAGCAAACAAGAGCCCGCCATCAACTCCTTCCTTCTATATTGCAGGCCCACTCCCCGATGGATGGGAACAAGCTATGACCCAGGATGGAGAAATTTACTACATAAACCATAAGAACAAGACTACATCTTGGCTAGACCCAAGGCTTGACCCACGCTTTGGTAAAAGTTCATCTCACTTCAGAATTTTTGATTCGCTTCAGTTCACTCAGCTTTAATTTTGCAGGCATATTTTGAAAACTTTTTATAGTACGATTAAAATATATTTTCATTTGAATTATAGAGACCTTATTTAAATCATTTTTTTAAAAAAGGATAAAAAGGATTAACATATATCCTGTAGGAGTGTATGTCACCAGAGTTTCTAATGCTACAGGTTGGAATTTTGCCATATGATCCATACAGTTCCCAAAATCGGTGGCATTCAGAAATTACTTATCTAGAGGCAGTTTCAGCCAAGCTCCCTCTTCCCTTTAAAATTGCAAAACTTTACCACAGAAGACTCTTTTAATTCCCAAACAAGTATTTACTTTCCTTTACTCTGTCCTAAAGAGGGCGTTGTCAAATAATAGTTTATGGTGTTTAAATACACTTGAAACATATACCAGCTTATAATTCCAGCTTGTCACAGTGATGATCATGACAAAACTTTCTGTTTTAAACAATATGGAGAGAAATGATTAGTTTTGTTGTTTCTACTTTAGTAATCTTTTTGCGGGGTAAAGACTATGTAATATTGGAAATAGAAATAGTAAATTAGGGATCACAAGTCTAGATGTAAGAATTTAAGAAAATAGAACTGATACCTCATTTTTTTGTAATGTTTTTGATCTGTATGGAAAGCAGAGCTGCAAACATTTAAATAAAATATTGGCACTGATGAGTATGAATAGTAATAGCATACAATATTAAGAGACTCTAAACTAGTTTCTTAGATTGTCCAAGTGATTGTTCTGACGTATTTAAGGTGGTATTACAACTTTAGTTTTTGTATAAAGCCGTGACCTGCGTGTGTAAGCTTTATTAGCTGTATTAATTCACCCTTGATTTGTTTTCCCAATAACATACTATTTTCAACTCCTTTGGATTTTAGTTATTTTTCCAGAGCCATGGAAAAAACAGTAGGGGTAAAAAAAAGAGATCATTGTGGTTTTCAGGCTTTAGTTTTGGACTCAGTGCAACTAAATGAAAACAGTGTGCAGATCACTGAGTAGGTCAGGCTGAGGGGATACGAAGCCTTTGAAGCTTTACAGGGGTTGACCTAACAACAACTGTGGGCCCCTTTTGGGAGAGGCATTAACTCCATGAATGCCATATAAACACAGAGCTGCAAAACTTAACAGTCCCTGTTCTGTTCTGTTTTTCTGAAATGGCTGTTAGAAATGTCAGCATTTTTGTTTTGTAGGCTTGAGGGCTTACTTCAAGCATCCGTTTGCTCTTACGGGGAACACCAGGTTGTCACACTTTGTTTATAAACTGCTCACCAGTTTGTAGACAGGTTGAACCACTGTGCAATTTGAGCCCAAAGGTGAGGCATATATTGAAGCTTGTCAGCTTTGGCAAATGTCCACGCTGGCTTTAACAGCAGCCAGAGTTGCAGACCTGTTTGCATGTTGCAGGAGGAGTGTGTGGGTAATTTGCAACTTCACAATTACTTAATATGTGAATAAGGCTGAAAAGGAAGCAGTCATTTTGAAAATCAGTATTGCCTTTTGCAGTTAAAAGAGGCAGGTCAATTATATTTACTTAAGTAATCTTGCAGGGTATGTATTTTTCTTTTCTTTGTATTACTTTATAGTTTCCAATGATGAGCTGGAATTAAAAAGGTGTGTGCAAAAGGCTTTAATTGACAGAGATTGTGAGTGAGATGAATCTTGTTTCTCAGAACTATTTTGTACTCCTGTAAATATCATGGTCTAACTGTAAGGGCAAAAACTCCTTGTCTTGTGCATACTGAAACTCCATCAAATGTTAAGGCTGTGCAGTTTAACTGAAAGAAATTAGAAATGTCCAAAAGACTGCATAAGAGTTTCTTGCTGCATAGCTTCCCTTTTTGGGCCCACTGCGTATGTGTATCCCAGACAGGCTTGAGTACATGCCAAGGCTCTTTATTTTGTGGTCGGACTTTTAATCTGTTCCAGACCTTTTCAGTCAAAGAGCTCAAGTGTAACTGAAAGGGGCAGGACAGAAAAAAAAAGCATGTGGGCTCTTCTGATCTAGAGTGACGGCAAATAGAGACAAGCTGCTAGCTGCTGTTGAGCTTGAAGGAGTTTTCCTTGAAATCTTAAGTTGTACACATTGTATTGTGGTTTATGTTTTTATCATTTGAGCCAAGAAAATACAAATTCTTATTCCTGTTGCTTTCTTACTTGTGACCTCCTTAAGTCATTCCAGTAAAGAAGAAAAAAAATCTGTTTGACAGAGCTAACTTACTGAGCCTTGCATTTATTTATCATGTGGAGATCCTCAACAAATATGTGCTGTGACCCTAAATAGCATGTGAATGACTCAGAAGTTTACCTTTCTGTGCTTAATATAGGTTGAAAATCATGTTGGGTTTTTCCCTCTGAGGATCACCATACTCTTTTCTACTGCTGCGTTTTAATATAAGGGCTTAGTTTTCACTATTTCTTGACTACTAACACTTTCAGAAGCAATCCTAGGTGAATTCATCTTTGTAATGTTGAAGCTTTTGATTATTACAGTGATACTAATGTTGACTGAAAATGAAGGAGAAATTAATTTCTTCCTTGATACTTGCCACTTTCACCAATCTGAAGAACCATTGAAAACAATAAAGCCTGTTGAATGGTATGTGCAAACATACTCTTCTGTTCCAGTATTCAGAAACAGAAGGTTTGAAGAGTCTTTGCCCTTACTGCTGCTGAATTCCCAGCTTCCAGGGAGACAGCCCTTATAGCTCTGTATGTTCCTTATCAGATGGAAGCTTCGCATTCATCTTTTTCTCTAGTAGATGTGCATATATCTTTTTTTTTTTTTTTTTTTGTAGTGCTGGGAATTTTCCATTAATGTGGCTAGAAAAGAGAGAGGAAGGAGGATCAGTTTGAAGAAATTGTTTTGGGTGGACACGCCTACTGACTGACTTGTCGAGGGGAATTTGGGTATTGCATTCATGCTTTTAAACAGAAAATAAAAGGATGCAGTTAATATGGATTCTTTCTTGGAGCAGGCTTTTAACAATAATGCATCAGATAAGAGTCCTTGTCAGAATACCTGGCTGTGGAGTAGGCTGGGTCTAAAACCTGAGTGCTCCAAGTTGAAGATAAGAACTGTATTCCAAGACTCAAATATAACATCTTTGAAGTGGGCTTGAGGTCTTCAGCTACACGACTTAAACGGCAGTGAAATCTTGTTGTGGCTCAGATGTCGATCCTCCAAGTCTGCATCTTTGATTTTAGAACAGTTTTATGTTAGGAGAATTCACAAACTTTAAAATCTGGGAAAGAACTAAGTATGAAAGGAGGGTCGTTTCATGCCAAGCATAGGCAATTGTAAAGGATGACATGGGATCAAAGGAATGGGGATGGGAGGGGGGGTCCTTAGGCCTGTGTCAGCAGGATTCTTTGTCTAGTGCAGCATCTGGTACAAACATGCTGTCCTACCTTCTCAGTGCCTTTGCAGGCCCCGTACTAAGGGGCTTTGCGTTACTTTTTTTTTTTTTTAGAAGGTTATTTCTTTAAGAGAATTGGACTGTCGGGTTGAGCTTGTGTTTTGGACTGTTTTGTCTTTTATTAGCTTCTCTTACTGTCCATTGGTCATTCTTTACAGATCCTACTGTTTTTCTTAAGCCTTCCAGATAAGTAAATGTGTTTTCTTGATAGTCAAAGAACGTCTGGGTAGGAAGCAGGTCAGCTATGCATTCTGAGTGGCTGGAGCTGGTGAAGTAGAACAACATCTGCTTTTTCTGTACAACTAAATTTCCTAGAACCAGTTGAAGTTTGGAATTGTTCAACTTTATGGCTACAAGTTTCCAAGAACAGGCTTTTGTATCAAATACTGTTAAAGGGATTTTAACTGTTATTTAAGTTTGCAGATGATAGGACTTCTTTTTGAAATGCAACTTCAAATCATTTGCGTTTTGAGGATAATTAATTTGTTAAATTTGAAGATGGGATGGTGAACTTGAAGTGGGAAAATACCAGAAACTGGCAGTTGATTTCTGCGTCTCTATTGGGTTACTCTAAGTGTTGTGTTCAAACAGTAGTACTGCTTTAGAGTAGTCAGGCAAGTCTGCAGGAATTGGAGTAGAATGAGATACTGTTTCAGTTTTCTTGTTATTTTATTCCAGACCTCAGTTTTATAGGTTTGTTACTAGTGATCATACCGGTGTTACACAGGCCCAGTCTTTTTCCTTCTGTTCTTTCAAACGTTGGAGCTGCTCTATGGGGTATGAAGCAAAAGATGTGACCTCAGATTGAAATCATTTCCACGACTTTATTTTTATCACTCCCACTTAGAGATTATGTTAATGTTGTTTGAAGTTCTGCATGAATTTTGGATGAGGAGGAAGGCAAGACAGTGTTTAATATCATTACGGAAAGTGCCATAGGGGCTCTGTGTACAGTAGCTGCTTGAACTACACAAGTAGGAAAAGGAATAAAAGCGATGATAACAGTAGGAGTATAGAGAATGCACATCAGGATTTTCTGCTTCCTTTTTTTGTAGTCTAAGAACATTATACCTTTGAAACAATGAAAAGGGCTTGTTCAGAAATACTGAAGTAAAATGCACCTGTAGATTTCATTGAAACCTGTATTTATCATTTCCATTGAAAAAAACCAACCAACCAAACAACCAACCACACAACAAACTTGAAATGCACTTAAAAGTTTAAGATTCGGAGCATCTGCTAATTTTTAAGTATTGGAAATTAAAAGGAAGTATTCTATAGTGTTGCTTTCTTATCCCTTACCTGTCTAGCACTTTGTTTAGTATGTGTTTCTTCAAATTAGCTTGTAGGAGCCTTGCCAGAGGCAGATTTGTGGACAAGACAGAACTAGAACCCTAGACTGGAAAGCTTTTTTTGGCCTTTGTCTGGTCAAAAAAAAAGCCCAGACCTTATGTCTGGTCACAGTGGCATTTCAGATTTTTTAAGTTCCCTATCTGCCTTCCATTTTTGCACAAAAGCAGAGCATGAGCCA